TTTGCCCTGAAGAGCCTGTGCGCGACAAGCAAAGAATGTCCCTTGTTCACCAGAAAGAAAAAAAGTGCGGCGATGCGCTCATCGTCGAAGGTAAGCGATTAGATTTGCAGGGGCAGACGATGCGTCAAACTCAACACAGCAAGTATCGTCCTCACCATCGCCACCCCCTTCGGTAGTTCAGTAGCTCAGTCTCAACGCTTCCAAAGAGCAGCTGTTTCAGCTTGGTGGAGAAGGAATGCGCAGGTGTTACAGTCCAATGCGAAGACATGCGACAGCATCGAAGATCTGGTCTCATCCCAGTAAAAGACTTTAGGGCTGACAAGCGTTCCAACCAACTGGCCAGCGCGGAGAGACGACAGGAGACCGAGCGTTAGCATGTCTGCCGTTAATTGACAGCCCATAAGATTGGAGCCACACAGGTAGAGTAGGTGTAGTTTGAGCTGCAGGGGCGGCCGCCATGCAAACTGCAGTAAGTAATCACGGCACCTTTCGACCGACAAACTTTTCATCTTGAGGCTGTCTGATTCAATAAGCCCTCTCGTAGTTCCAATGCAGGACTGCTTGCAGCAATGAATGCGGCGTTCAGGTCGCCGAAAAAGAAATGTCGTATTGGCACTGAACTCTATCCTCCGGCTCCGCTTTCGTCGTCGTCGCTAGCCGAACACCGCGTCATTATAGAGATGGTATTGATTCTGCCATGCTTTGGCAGCCATAGTGCGATAACGGCGGTGGATCAAGGCGATCGTCATCAGCAGATCAATAGCTCGGTGTGGAGAGACCTCCAGGCACGCTGCTGCAGGTACGCGCATCATGTCTCGGCGCCGCTGCCGCACTCTGTGTGGCTTACGCTCCTTCACTTTCGCGCGACAGCGGATTGGGCTGTGCCAGGCCGGCGAGCCCGAAGCGCTACCTGTGAAAGGACTCGAACAAGACAAAGACGAGACGACTCTGGAAGCGTGTACGCCGGAGAAGCACCGAGTTCACGCTTGCCAAGGCAGTGGTTCCTCACATTTGTTTTCGATCAGCGAGCTGTGGAGCTGTGTCGCAATATTCAACGTATCGATCGAGCCCAAAATCTGCATTTAGATACAATAGCACGCCTGGTCGTACCGGAAAGCCGACTGATTCTCCCACCTTTGTCAATACATCAGCACCTCTGTGTGCTTTGTTTCAGATTCATTATTCTCATCAAGTCCCCATTAGGATATTGACCGCGTTTGTGGTAAGATGAGGCGTGCGTACACAAGATGGCGCGCGAAAATTGTGGCGCATGTTGTGCCCTCTGGGAGAATGGTTCACTAAGCCAGCCACCTATTGCGCAGGGGCTTCTTGAAGGACCGCGCATTTATCCGGTATAATGGTTCAGCACAGTGCGTTCCACGTGGATGAAGCCTGTCATGAACTTGTCGTGTTCAGGGTCGGCGAATCGTGACCGCTCTTGTTATTTTTGTCCCTGGTAGTCCGCGATCGTATCAGGCCACAGCTGTCATGATAGAATTGCCGGCCAGCTAGCACTAGCTTGCTGAATCTATTCAAACGGCGTCTTCATCGTCGTCAAGCTGTTCAGCCACAGCTTGCGTAGACACCCAATTCTCCAGCATTGCCTGGCTGGAAGTTGCGCCACTCGCTCCTGCCGGATTTCGCACGCCACGGCGCTTAACGACAAGACATAGTATACGGCCGTAGATACTGAAGCCGTCATACGATGTATTGAGACCAAGCTTTTTCTTATCATCTGCTTGTGGTTCCTCATCACTGGCCTGATCCTCATCCCTTGTGGTAGCCTTCGTCTTGCTGCCATTGGCAGGAGGCTCGGGGACAAAAAGATCCGAACTTTCGCTGTCCGTCTGATCGCCGATTCCATCATGCTCTTTGTTGCCTCTTCGGCGTCTTGGTCGTGCTGAACGTTCAGGCGGCTGCTTTCCAGCTACATCGGCTGCAGGGATATCAGCAAGATTGATAGGCTGGTCGTCCTCCTCCTCTCTGATGACTATCGGATCTGCGGCATCTTCGTTGATAACGACAGGCTGATCGCTAGTTCCGGTTGTCAGCCAGTTGGTGAGTTTGCCCGAGTTGCTCTGGATGCGGGCCTTGTCTTTGAAGATCTTTTGCTTGGTCAGAACGGAGTGGCGGGAGGATAGGTCCGTCAAGAAGATCGAAACCTCGAAATCATCTGACGTGATGTTAGCCGTCTGAGTAAGACTGCAGCATATATGCGGGGATGCTTGTATCGTAGATAGTTCAACAGGGCTTCATGCAGCTTACCTTCAACGACAACATCCTTCACTCCCTTCTTTTTAGATTTGGCACCACCTCGGCCTTTACCCCGCTCGTTTTCTTCTCGCAGTTTGGGCAGTACAAGCGGTCGTATGGCCTGAATGACGCGTGGCAGTGCTGGATCATCGCGTTTCAACAGCCATGCCTCAGCGTCAGCAGGTCTGTCGAGATAGATGCGGACCTCAAGGACCGAATGTTTTGTAATCCGCAAGTAGCGTCGGAGTGGTGCCATATTGGAGTTGTGAAGGTTTGATGTCGACAATGTTATCAAGCAAGTGCAGCTGGGAGCATGGAAACCAACGATGATGCGTGTTCACGTGCACGCGTTCCGACGCTAGGAACGTTCCGATCGGCGTGCGCAGAGGTTGTAGAGAAGTGCGTCAGGATCTCCCAGACCAACAGCGCACCGCAACACGGCACAAGACATGGTGCTTGAGCTTCATGTATGGGGCCCAGCCTTTGGCCTCCCCTCAATAGAGCCGGAATGCATAGCGACGGTTGCTTACTGCCAGCGCGTTATCCCCAAGGGCGACTGGACACTCGTCGCGGAGCACGACCCCACGGTTGGCGCCACAGGTACAGGACTGCAACCCCACCGTGGCCGAAATAGATTCTTACACAGCAGCAGAGAGCCTGCCGATCCTTTTTGATGACGATGTTGCGACCGCATCCGGCTTCGAGGACATCGTCGCATACCTCCGCAATCACCCTGCAGTTACCAATGACCTTGATGTCAACCTATCCAGTAGACAGCGGACTGACAGGACGGCGTGAGTACCCAACGACCAAGTACTAGGCGTGCTCTAACGCATTTCCAGTTTTATCACGTTTCTCCAGTCCACGGCGACGCCTCTGATCGACCTGTCACTCTACGTCTCTGCCGAAAACTACAACACGGCGACCTCGTCCGCTTATACCGCAATCCTGCCATGGTATGCCAACTACACCGTCCCGCCGAAACGACGAGACCTTGCGAGAGCCCGGACGGCGCATATGGGACTCAGTAGCTTGGATGTGGATACTACAGCCGAGGAAGGCTTTGCGCCGGGTCGGGGCACTGCTTCGTCCGAATATGAGGCCGCAAAAAGGGCAGCCGGCATACCGACCGAAAGTCAGCCCAGCGCCATGAGCATGGGGCGTGGAAAGGGTCTAGGCGGCCTCCTAGGTGGCCAAGTGTACGCTGCGCGCTTTAGGCTGGATGCTCTGTCGGGTGAGCTCCTGGATCCCTTATCAGATCTATTGGGAAAACATGACCATCTCTTTCGCGGAGAGCAGCCTTCTAGCTTGGATTGTCTTGCCTTTGGCTATCTGTCCTTGCTGTACTACCCAACGGTGCCCCAAGCTTGGCTTAGGGAGACTATCCAGACCAAGTATCCACGCATCGGAGCATACATTCGCAAGTTGCGCAAGGAGTTCTTCCACACCGACGAGGTAGACCCTGTAGATGTCTGGTCTGTTTCTACGGGCGCGAAGAAATCCCTAAGAAGTACCTCTCTACCATGGACAGCAAGATCACAGACTCTCGCCTCCAGTACGCTAGCTAGTGTGAAGGAGATATTGGGTAACACTCCTGGACTGTCTGCCTTGTCTCGACGGCATAACGTCGTTGTCTCGGAGCCACCGCTAGTATCAAAGCGCATCAGATCTGAGCTCCCGTCTCCATTGTTCGTCAACACCCTCCTAGGTGTGACAACTGTATTCGCAGTGGGACTAGCATCGCTAGCTGTGCACCACCGCCGGTCACCGCGGGAGGGCGAACTTATCTTCTGGGCTCTGCGCCCAACTACTGGCCTGGGCGAAGCAGGTAGCATTCTCAGTGTCTTCGCCAACTCGCTGCATGACGGAGCGATGTATTAGTTTCGAGCAAGATGTTTTGACGATATACCATTGTTTTATGCACGAGTTATACATGGGCAGTGTAGACTTGGAGAAAACCAAGTTTCTGCCATTGGCCAAAGCTTGCCATTGCAAGTGTATATTTGGAATTGCAAAGATAACCACTCTGCACCAGTCCTGTACACACACGTCGCGGAACGTCCGGCAACCAACCCATCTGTCTACAACAACATCTGTCTACAACAACATCTCCGCTGCCGTGTAGTCGCTGTCCTGGCGAGCATTGAAAACTTGCAGGAAGCAACTTTTTGAACCTTAATAGATGCGCAACCTGATTTATAGACGACTTGAATGGCTCCTTCCGAGGGTCTAGGGAGAGACGATTTCCTGGTAGTGCGGTTGTCATGGCGCCCATGGGTCCCGAAAACAGGCACACATCAACGTCACATCAGCCGGATCGAACGTAGCCACTGGCGCCAAAAGTTCTGGCCCCAAGCTAGGTGGGATCAGCGCAAGCAGGGCAACCATTGTCTGACTGTGTACGATATATGTGTCGCATGCGAGTGCAACCCACGAGAAAGGGTCTGGATTCAAATGCAGGTACTCAGGGTCGTAGGAGGATGCTCTATGCTGGTTTGGGCGTGCCAATGTCGCAGTGTGGAGGATGTGCATGATGTGAGGGAAGGTAGCGTGCCCGAGAACATGATCGCCACGGGGAGAGTGGGGCTAGGCAAACGCTACGTCATTGAAGTCCCCTAAACAAAACCTCCGTCATACCGCGACATCTCTGCGCCTTCCATATCAACACCGCGCCGCCCCCGAAACTTCAAGCACGACTACATTCCTCCAATCCACACTTGAGAAATCGCCAGAACACCACCGCCAATATGCACAGAACCTACAGCATGCGCCAGTCTCGCGCGCCTACGGCGTCGCAGATTCAGAGCCCCCCGCCCCCTTCGTCCTCGACCAAGAGCGGACGCTTCTTTGGCAAGGCCAACATCGGTACGTCCTCTAGATACGATTCTGCCCGCTTTGGTCTTGTTTCCAGTCCCGACTCGAATCGTGCGAGGAGCTTCGCGCAATGCCATTTTTGCACACCGCATGTGCAGAGCTCGTCGCATGTTTCAGCAACGACGACCATTTCGATCGTTGATGCTCCCGGATAGCGTCCAGACTGTTCAGAGAATACTTTGTTGTGCTGCAGTTGCTGACTGGTCCTCTACCATACAGGCCACACCTTCCGCCACAAGTCCGCTGGTGCCTTCGGACCCGACCTTGCAAAGAAGCTGTCACAACTTGTCAAGATGGAGAAGAACGTCATGCGCAGCATGGAGCTTGTTTCCAGGGAGCGCATGGAGGTCGCAGTAAGCTTGCACAACTCTGTGCGACTCTACGTAGTACTAACTGGCCACACAGCAACAACTCTCCATCTGGGGCGAGGCTTGCGACGACGACGTCTCTGACGTCACTGACAAGCTCGGTGTCCTCATCTACGAGATCGGTGAGCTCGAGGACCAGTACGTTGACCGTTACGACCAATACCGCGTCACCATCAAGAGCATCCGCAACATTGAGGCTTCCGTCCAGCCCAGCCGTGACCGTAAGTCCTCTACATGCATGCTGTCCGATTGACGCTTACGTTTAGACAGGCAAGCAGAAGATTACCGATCAGATTGCTCAGTTGAAGTACAAGGAGCCCAACTCTCCCAAGATCGTTGTCCTTGAGCAGGAGCTTGTACGCGCTGAGGCCGAGTCCCTCGTCGCAGAGGCCCAACTTTCCAACATCACCCGTGAGAAGCTCAAGGCAGCTTTCACGTACCAATTCGATGCCATGCGCGAGCACTGCGAGAAGCTGGCCATCATTGCCGGCTACGGAAAGCACTTGCTCGAGCTTGTTGACGACACCCCCGTCACTCCCGGAGAGACCCGCCAAGCTTACGATGGCTACGAGGCTAGCAAGGCGTAAGTTTCTCTACTCCTTTCAATGAGAACCCCCCACTAACATGCCACAGCATCATCCAAGACTGCGAGGATGCCCTTACGAACTGGGTGTCTCAGAACGCCTCTGTCTCCTCCAAGCTCTCCCAGCGATCGCGCACCCTTTCTCAGCGTCGCCGCAACCAGAACCGCAACATGGGCGAGGGTGTTGACCTCTCTGGCCAAGACCAGGCTCTCGACAGGGAGTCTGGCTTGTGGATCCCTGCTGAGCAGCACCAGGGCAACGGCTACGAGGGCGAAGATCTTGACGACGATGTCACTTCCACCATCGCTAGTGAGCACCAGCGCGGTCGCGAGGACGAGAGGGTTGTTGCTGCTTAGACGTCACACTGACGGCTTAAGCAGTGTTCCACTCTCTGTCCACTAATAGTCCGTCTTCACGAGGACTGACGACTTATACCCCTGATGGAATGAGCGACGATACTGCAGTTTTGGATCCGATATATCCGATCAATGTGGCTTGGGCTATGTGATGGAAAGCTTTCTGGATGACCAATCTCACTAGAAGCTGAAGTCTGGTTTTGGGCACATGGATATCATGACTTTTTGACGATTTTCACCGCGCGTTGTATGAACCTTGCAGTAATAGTGTAATGAGATAATCTATATGCTTCGTTGAACATGATGCGACATCTGCATTTATCGTTGTGTGGTTGAAGTCCAGAAGCTCTCATCGTCGCAGCACCATGTGAGTCTGTATTAAATCTCTATCACGGCATACATTGACCCGAACCTGAAGCCCACCGGCCGGACACATTTCGTTCTCATCAACAAGCCGCAGCATCTTTTCATCGAGCCGGCCCGCCCGCCGATGCTCAATGTTCAATCTTGGTGCGGCCGGGTTCCCCAACACAGTCTGCCATCGGTCATTTGCCGACGACCCACTTTCGGCGGGTGAGAGATACCCCACCTAACCGATTTCGCTCATAGTGCGGGGCAACCAGGATGAATGTCAATGACCGAAGACGGGTCTTTTGCCGGCCCAAGGCCATTTTCCCTGGGGAACGTAGCGGCGTGTGACGTTGGACTGTGGGGTGATGGGAGAGAAGTACGTGGTCGATGTTTTGTGACTGACATCTTGACTCCAACTCTCAACTTCAGACGTCAAATCGGATGTATCGCAATTAAGAAAGAGCTAGATACATGGAACAGCATAAAGCAGAGTGACACCGAAGAGAACTACCGCATCTGTGGATAACGGCTTCCGTGCAGTATTCGTCGCGTCAACGTTGGAACCCAGTGTTGAGATAGGATACTTTGGGACACCAAGCTGTTCCACCTTTCAAACCAAACCACGAAGACACCACGAACACCACAACAATGTCTTCTAAACCCCAAATCGGCTTCTGCGGCCTAGGCGCAATGGGTATGGGCATGGCCACGCATCTCGTCAAGCAAGGCTACCCCGTAACTGGTTTCGACGTTTATCCTCCTTCGCTGGAGAAGTTCAAGGCTGCGGGTGGCACACCATCAACATCACTCTCAGACTCTGCAAAAGACAAACCCTTCTACATCGTCATGGTCGCATCGGCCATGCAGGCTCAGCCCGCGCTTTTCGACAAAGACGGCATCGTGAACGCTTTACCAAAGGGAGCGACACTCTTGCTGTGCTCGACAGTACCAAGTGCGTACGCGAAGAGTGTAGAGAAAGAGCTGGTAGATATTGGCCGCGATGATGTCCTATTCATCGATGCGCCTGTTTCTGGTGGTGCAGGCCGGGCTGCAGACGGCACTCTCTCCATCATGGCGGGCGCCTCATCTGCCGCGTTTTCAAAAGGCCAATGGCTACTCGAAGAAATGTCCGCCCCTTCCAAGCTTTTCATCGTTGATGGCGGGATCGGTGCTGGCAGCAACATGAAGATGGTTCATCAGGTGCTTGCGGCAATCCAGATCCTTTCTCTCAGCGAAGCATACGGATTCGCTGCTAGACTGGGCTTGAACGGACAGGATGTGTACGATAAAGTACTGGGGAGTACGGGCTGGAGTTGGATGTTTGAAAACCGCAGTCAGAGGACGCTGAAGGAAGACTATTTCCCGGGAGCGAGTGCTGTGACGATTATTCTGAAGGATACTGTAAGTAACCCTTCACTCTCGGGATCCCGAAGTGATGTGGCAGTGTATTAACAAAAGGAAAACAGGGAATCATCACATCCATGTCCCGCAGCGTAGCCTTCCCAGCCACCCTCTGCTCAGCCGCCGAACAAGTCTACTTCTCTGCCCTCGACCGCGGCTGGGGCGCCAACGACGACTCAGGCATCGTCCGCCTGTGGACCTCCGAGCCCGTCACCAGCATCCAAAGCAGCCTCTCAGCCGAGGACAAAGAAGCCAAGCTCCAGCTCGTAGTCAACCTCCTAACCGGCATTCACCTTGTCTCCGCAGCTGAAGCCATTTCGCTAGCCAAGCACGTCGGTATCCCATTAGCACAGTTCTACGAGCTGGCGTGTGATGCCGCGGGTGGAAGTGCCATGTTCAAGGATGCGGGTGCGAAGATGATTGCTGTTTTGGAGGGTAAGGAGGATGGGAAGGGTAAGGTGCTTGGAGGGTATGCGGAATCGTTGAAGCAGGCTGTGGATGAGGCGCAGGCGATCAAGTGCCCTGTGTACCTTGGTACTGGCGCGTTGAATCTGTTGTTGCAGACGGGGAGCGAGTTGAGTCTGGGTTCGTTGCTCAAGTGCTATATGCCATAGATTGGGTAGGGTAATATCAGTGATGTGTACATAGTCTAGGTTTGGAATGAACAGATGCGTATACTCATGATATTGTTACTATTTTCAGAAGACATTGTACAACGCATTTGTATCTTATCGGCAATTGTCAAATTGCCTGTTCTCAAGCCTTCAACTCCTGTTGTCAATGTTGATACACCTGATACCTCTCTTGTTCGCCCTCGCGGTAGCTGACACGTCCATTTACTGTATTCCACTAGCAAGGACTTGCAATCTCAGCAACTGTCACCATGCGTCCTCTCGACCACCGTTCCCGCATCTATCTTCTCTCAACATCTGCGAGTATAGTTTCGCCGCCATCTCCCTCCTGTGCGTCCCAGTCATGTGTGGCTCTGACGAGAGCCCTGTTCGGGTAACTAAGCGGGATGTCGGGCCCGGTGCTAGCGGTCTGACGCTGGTTCTGAGCGCGTGGCGCGATCGTGGTAGAGACGTGATATCTTTCTGAGTCTTCAGGATGAAAGCTCGTAGTATCCTGGGGGTATTGTTCTGCCTCTAATATCATGTTCTCATTTCCATCTCAAGATCCCTAGTCTCTCTGCTCAATTCTTGAACATCGTCTTGAGCCATGATCTGCGCGCTAGCATCCAGATCTTGTATGACATTCTCTAGGCCTCGTACGAGGGCTTCTATCTCGGCGCGTTGTGCGGTGACGGTCGAAAGTAGCTCGGTGTTTGACTGCTGAGTCTCGACGAGCTTCGTGTTCATATCGGTCGCTTGCTTTTCGAGGAAAGGCATGAGGTGTGCTAGGTGTATTTCGGCTGGAGTAAGGGTATGCGGTCTATGCCCTCGAGTCAGTATTCGAGAGTAACAAGAGCGGGCGCATTCGCAAAACTCACGGCACAGGTGTCTCTACAGGTCCACCATTGGCGCTCGCTTCGGCGCGCTTCTTCCTGAGTTTCGCATCCTCTATGCACTGGTCCAGCGAGTTGAGCAGCCTAACGACATTCCTCCTCTCCATGATGTCCTCGAAGTTGCTCTTCCATGTCCGGTCCAACTGATCCACAATTTGCCCTCTCAGATTGTCCAGAACCTCTGGGCTATACTGTGCAGCCGTTGGGAAGCACGAAGCGAAGTTTTTGGCCGAGCATTTGTCTAAGGTCGCTTTGGAGGCTTGGTTGAATACATTGATCAGACCTTGCGCGCGCGGGCCGGGTGCGTCTGCGATGGGTCGAGCGGGTGTAGGAGATGGAGAGCGCGATTCTGGATTCGTGGCGGTAGGCATGATGGTATAATCGCAGACTGCGACGGATTTCGATGTACTACGAAGTCAGTCAATAGATGCTATAGCGGGCGCATTGTCTCCATCGCTGTTTACTCCAGAAGCGCGCTAATCCGCGCACGTGATCGCGTGTCCCGCTAAGCCAGCCCCACTTATCCACAGGCACCTGGGCACAAACAACGATTTTGAACTCGTTCTGTTTGTTGACAAGAACTTACCAACACTTGATCATTCACTAACTGAGAACAACTTACGTGATTGAATACAGCAGGAATACTTGTGAAGCACAGCCAAATCACGGCCAGATCACGATCAGATCACGACCAGATCACAATTAGATCACAGCCAGACATCAGCTGCTACCAAGCTCTCACACTCTCTGCTCAGAAGATGGCACAGCCCAATTCTGGCGTCGCTGCCCAACAGAGCGTTGGACATCGAGCAAACGACACTGGAGCCCGAAACCTCACTCTGGATTTGTACGACTTGACTAACCTCCGTGCATTGCCTCTACACTTCTTTCTTTATTGCTTCTACGTCGCTTCTTCTACCTCATTTCTTCTACTTCGCTTCTTCTATTTCACTTCTTGGATCTTGACTAACCTTCCGACTAACCTTGTAGCAAAGGACTTCAGATCAAGGCCCCTGTCAGCCCCGAACAGCGCAAAAGCCTACTGGATCTACCACCCACTGTCCTCTGTGGCATTATCCAGGCAACCGACTACCAGACCGCACTCCGCCTCTGCCAAACCCATCGTCACTTCCGCCCACTGGTCGAGGTAGGCTTCTCTCATGGCCTCAAGCTCCAAGACAAGATAGCATTCGTAGTGAGGCGCGCGCATGCCAAGTGCACCCCATACACCCTCAACCCGTACACCAAAGGTCAGGGTTATCTTGGCTGCCGGCTGTGCTTCCAAGTCTACCCCATTCTTCCCAACGACCCCGAATTCGACGACAAATTCCTGGGCGTGTGCAGAGACTGCGACCTGACATGCGGCGTACCCACAACAGGAGATGAACACGACGACCTACTCCGGGGAACGACATACCATCTCGGCTCAAACCGGCTTGTACGTTTCTGCCTGGTGTGCGGCCATCTCGTCTACCAAGACCCCCGCCCAAACCGTCCGATCATCTACTGTCCTTGTATCAAGGATGGCTTGGTGGGTGAGCATCTTGGTGCCGTCAAGGCCTATGAGGGCTGCGCAGGTGAGTTCTCAACATACCCTGGAGCCTACATGATGCTAACAGAGTGAAATAGTTCACCTCTTGACATACCTACCAACCTACATGAGGTTGTGGGATGAACAAAACCCACCTACATGGCCCGGGTTCGAGAATACAGACGACCAACGCGCCTTTCAACCAGAAGAGGT